AGCCTTGTCAAAAGAGGTGAGTGGGAATTTGAGCATTAGGCTGAGACACTTGACCTGCAAAGGGAGATGATTAGGAAGAGAAGAAGTCAGTGATACCACATGTAGCAAGGCGATGAAAGAGTTGAGAGAGCAGACTAGCAACACAACCACTTGATGAATCATTTGGGATAAGAAATGGTGCAGACCTTTGGATTCTTTTGGCAGCAAAAATTGTAACACATTTCCCCTCTTTTCTACTTAGCAGACAAAGCAGATAGAGGGGGCCGAGAGCCCCGTCTTTTAAGAGCTTTATTGGGAATCTTTTAAGAGCTTTATTGAATGGTACTTTGTGGCCATATATTATATTCTGCTTTCATTTCGCCTTATGTTGAGGCTACCATCATCCTTAAAGAGTCTTTTAATTGCCCTGATGTATTAAGAATATCTTCCTTAAGAGTTGTGGTGATTTTATTTACTGGACCCATTATATCTTAAAAGAGGTTTTTTTAAAAAGTGAGATTATGCTTTAAAGAAATGTTTTTCAAACCTATTGTCTATAAACCTGTAGAGTACAGTACATATTTGTAATTTACCTGACATAAATTCTCAGATGACACAGAGGCATTTACCTGCAAAACTAGAAAATGAATGTATAAACTCATCAGACAGTATTTAATCTGTATCTTCCTCCTTTTTACCTTTTGTCACTCTTCTTGTTTCTTATGTACCTTAAGATTTGTGCTTTTACTTTGCTTTATTTAGGCCCTGTTCATACGAGGTGTTTTGGGCTGGGAGGGGGATGGAACGGGGGCGGAGCAAACGGGCGCGATCCCACGGCAACATCTGGGAATCGTTGCCTGCCCGTCCCTGATCCGTCCCTACCGCCGAAAACGCGCACTAAAAAAGAACCACCTACCTAGGTGGTTGTATCCATTAGAGCGCCGCAAGCTGGGCCGTGGGATCGGCCAGCGCGTCTTTGCGCCGGTGCATCCCGGCCCCCTGCCGTACTGCGCATGCTCGAGCATGCACAGTTCGGCAACCTCCCCCCCCATCCAACTCTTCCTCCCCGGCATCTGATCGTGCTGGGGAGCGCCGCGCCGCGGCTCAGGGGATCCGTGGGATCCCGCCACGGCGTTCCAACTTTGGTGCGGCTCACATTAGCCACAGATCAGCCGTCCTTTTCCCTGCCGTGTGACAGGGGCCTTACATATTTACCCCACTCTTTCTCCAAGAAGCTCAGTTGGCACACATTTTCCAGCCATTTATATCCTCACAAGTCTGCCTGGTTGAGAGATGGTAACTGGCCAAGTTTAATGACTGAGCAGAGATCAAAAGCTGGTCTAAGTCCAAGTTTTTCCCCATTACACCATACTGGTTCAGTATGCTACATTGATCAAAATGTGGCAGGCAGGAACGATATGTGATTAGTCTAGGGCTGCTACTTGGAACTCCAGAATAAGGAACACAGAATGAGATGGTTATAAAATGATGTAATAGGTGTTCACAAAATTAACAATATTATGATTAGTCTATACTCTTATACATTAAATTCACATTGGTTTTTGCAGTTATGTGCATCACTTCTTTTCAATGAGCATTCTATCCATCCTGTGTATAAGAAAAAGGTAGCACAGTGCATGCCACTATCCTCAATAGGTATTATGTGGTATGAGAGAACACTGCATCTCAGCTTTACTTTATTTCATAAGTTCTTGGAGACTCATGAGGAGAACAGACAGAAAACAAACAGAATCCAATGATCTCCTTTCCATGGTCATCATGATTGTCCATCTCCTAGGGAGCAGGAATAGGTGGGAGTAATGGCAATATTAACAGCAGCTATTATGACAGTACTGCAATACTAAGCCCACAGAGTTACAATCTAAAATGACATCTTCTCTGTGTGTTTCAGAAGTCTCCACCAAGGCTCAGTTTTATTACTGCTCTTTAACTTGAAGCCTGCTGGTTCCAATAAACCAGAATTCTTCCCTGCAATATTATTACATAGGCTTTATGCAGTTATCTCAGCAGAGTTTATTGTTCCACATTTTCAGTTTTATCACTGCATCTTCCAGGAAAAAAGGCACCCAATGATATTACTACAGCCAGCTTTCACTGTTAGTCTGAAATCTGCAAGGAAGCCTTGGGGGCTAATTCCACATTGTCAATTAGATGGAATTACCCGTTCTCAGCTGCAGCTGACACCAAAAACCCTCCTAATTAAGCCAGTTTTCCAGTTCAGCATGCATCAATGCTCAGCATTCTCATACTTCAGAAAATTAGGACTAGAGCCCTACAAATTGAATGTGAATATTGACACTTAAGCAGCACTGACTGTACATTTGTCAAAATGTCAATTAATAAGGCCATTAATTTAAATCATCTGCAGTTTAAAAGTACTACTATTTATTAACATAGATTTTTCTGAACCAGAGAATATACAGGTCTGTTCTTCATCTTATTTTTATACAGATGTCTTAAATAACACGAAAGAAACACATCGACATCAGAAAGTTGATGGGAAGTTGGCATTAGGATGAAGAAATGCCTGCAACCAGACTATGGTTTGTGAGATACACAAGCCAATTTAAATTCACCTCATGGGTACCTATGGAGTAGCAAATAAAATTAAACCAAATTTAAAGCCACAAACAAACACAGAGACATTTCCTTGGGTATGTGCAGGGCTGTGCTGATTGGCATTTGTTGTGGCCTCTCCTAGCTGATAGTGACAGAGATCCTTAAAGCTTTCTGCAAATGGAGGAATTATAAATGCTGTTTGACATTCAGAAAATTTCACTATCTAAAGCTCTCTGAAGAAACAGGCCAGGCTAGAAATTTAAAGGAACCAGACATCCTAATAATAAAATGATGGACAAAATCCATGAGATTGTTTTTTTTATTTATTTATGCACTTTTATCCTGTTCTCCTTCCAAAGAGGATAGCAAATGCTTCCCTTTCTCCCATTTTATCTTGACAACCGACTGTGGAGTAGGTTAGGCTGAGAGACACTGACTGGCTCAAGATAACATAGATTCATGGCTGAGGTGGAATTTGAAACCACAGCTTCTTGGTCCTACTTGTACATTCTAACCATTACACGCCAGTTCTTTCTTTAAAGATGATGATCTCTGACATGCCTCTACCATTCAGAATTCGTGTTACTCATCCCCAGCAAGTCAAGCAATATACCACACTTATTTGAGTACTGCTCATATATGTCTATCCAGCTCTTTCACCTATGTTGTGAGGCTGAACTTCTAACCCTGGCAATGGGGCAACTGGAGTCATCTATCTATCTATCTATCTATCTATCTATCTATCTATCTATCTATCTATCTATCCTATCTATCTATCTAATCTATCTTCCATCCATTCATCATCTATCAATCTACCTCTGTCTTTATATATATATAATTTTAGAAACCAAAGTATGATATGAAGGGGATACAAAAGAAAAAGAGGGCCCACACAATGTATTATATATTATATGATAATTATATAAAGATTATCATATATTGCAAGATATATAGAACAGAAAAAGTAAATATTTCTCCCTAATATCCCCTTCACTATGATTCTTAAGATATTTTTACAGGATACAGTGTTCCTCACTTCAAACATTTTGAAATTAAAACTTCATAAGTAATCCATTTTGCAACTATATTGTTAATTTCCTTGTTATTGGATATTCTATGTTATATACTTCAATGTTTCTGAATACTAGCTATAACTTTTAATATACCAAAGTTCAAAAGAAAGTCTATTATATATCAGATATTTTTGTTCAAAATCAATTTCCTCATACATTTATATTCAAAACTTGTTCTCATTCTATTTCTACATTGTTGTACATTTATATGCACAGCATAGTAATATATTTGTATACAATTTAAAAACTGTTTCTCATTCTAAATTTATCTCCTGTTTGCATAATAAACATAAGGATAAAGAAAAACTGGGCTGCACCCAGCAGTGTGCCAACAGAGCAAAAAGGAAAAAATGCCAGGTGATAGATAACTGATTTATTATAAAAAGTCCCTACACACCTACACGTTTTGCTGTGCAGGCTTCATCAGGGGGAATAAATACATTCACCTAGTGCTGGAACTGTCCACAGCAATTAAATTCTTATCTATGACAGGCAGTCATTTCCCCAGAGAGCACTTTCCTGGGGGCACTTTCTTTGAGGGGCGTAACTCAGACCTCATAAATCCAATCCTCACCAAACTTGGAGGGCAGGTTGGGGAGAGTCTAGCTTGCACAGGATCCTTTCTGTACACTCCTGAACCTGCACCTGTCAAAATGACCGCCTGTCATTAGATTGAGCGGAGACAGTCTGTCTGGAAATGTATCCATTCATGAACTGGCACAAACCTCCACAAACAGCTTGAAAGTTCATGCCAGTTGATCTGCCACAAACTTCATTTTGTGAACATGAACTGCCCAAAATTCGTCACAAAATTTAGTTCATGAGCCAGCTTGCGTCCATCCCATTTTGAGAGTCCCCACCTCCAAATCCAGAGTTTTCATTAGATTCTCCTTCAGTGGAAGCTGGTTCCAAAGAATTCCTGAGCTCTACATTATCTTTTTTACTGAAGGAGACCTATTTTACCTCATAAGCTGCCTCTGTATTGGAACTCTCTTGTTTCAAGTGGGCACACTAAGAACTTGCCTGTAGCTCATTTTCAACATAGATAGTGCACTCCTGTTAAATTCAGACAATATTTTTAGGCCGACTCCTTGGAATAGTGTATACTGCTCTTTCAAATTACCTATAATAATGGTAGGGAACTTGCATAAATACAAAATGCTGAAAGATTGTCTTGTTGGGAGATTTCCCATTTTCTTAGATACTGTTACTTGTTCTCTTAATGCTTAATGCTATATGCATACTGTTTAACTGCTCTCCTTTTAAAGGAAACAAAGTTTATTTACAGCAATATGTACTACAAGAAAACACCATAAAACAGTTCTAATTTCCTTTCAAAAAAGGAAAACTGGAGAATGCATTATTTACCACAGGCTTGGATGTCACAAAGTTCTGATTTAAAGTTCTCATCTAGAGTGAAACACCATGGAGCTTCTTTCTGATTCCCTGGATTACGACAGTAGGAATGGCCCCCATTTAATTCAGGGTATCTGATAGCAGTGAACGTATGTGTGTGAGGATACTGAGAATTCCATGGCTGGCACTGTCGCCCAGATTTTGTGATGCTCACGGTCCCTCGGTAGTCTATTCCTGTGTTGTTATAACATTTGTGATCTGTAAAAGAACAAAGAAAACAACAGTTCGCTTTGGCGAATCAGAAAGCTACCATGCATATTGGTGACTGATTGGCATATGAGCATGAAATGTATCTCCACTGATGCAGGTTATGTTTCTGCTGGCCTGTATCCTGAAACCTAATTCAGTTTCCCAAGTTACTGATGTTATAATGCTGGGCTGGCTATTCATCCATACTCTGGAGAAGATTTAATGGTTAGGTTTTTTGTAACAAAAATGCTTATTCCAAGTATTTTTTAGCATAAAATGCATATAAGAACTCAAAACTGCCCCGGAAAGCTGAAATGGATCCATTATTTTGGCATAAAAGTACAGAGAAACCGTGAGACTCAACCATTATTGGGCTATCTTGGTAATACAATCACGTAGTATCACATTCACTCTAATCAGTCTGTGATCTAACCAATGAACTCCACTCAGTGACTGGAATTAGGTCTACTAATATAGCATACAAGCATTGCATAGCAACCTTTGCCCTTGTAAGGAGCCTTTACTTATACTTTAATACCATTTATTTCAATGGAATGGCTAATGGGCATTTTAATGGACAGGAGCTGCGGCACCAGACATCAACTGATATAAGAGTAGTACAAATAAGATTTGTTAGTCTACATTTTAAAAGAGCTTATTTTAAATAAATTACTGTCAACTCAAATCTATGCAAAATGAGGGACACAGTGAAAAATGGCTTCTGTAATAACTAGCTAGGCTTTTCATCAGACCAATAATCTGACCATACCAGATTTTGAACTGCCAATACATATATTTTTTTCTGTTCAAAAACTGTTTGATGGGAAGGATGTTTCCTATGTAAAGTACCGAATCACCAATCACCATATCATTACAAATGTATAGCAATATTCTAGTAATTTCATAAGCTGGTTTTATGAATGTAGAATTTTAACATATTCCACCATGTTTTCTTTCTTTCAATTAATATGCCTTGTTCCTTGTTATGGTCGCAGAGTGAATTTATTGTATTGTAATTGAAAACTTATAAATAAAAAGTTTCAAAAAAAAGTTTACAATTGTTACTCACTCTTATTTATTGGATCTGCCATAGGGATGCCAATGCGGATACAGTTTACAGCCTCAGGGCTATCAGGCTGTGGAAGATCTTCACAATTAGGCAGCTTTAAGCGCATCAGAATCATAGGGTTGGATCTTGCAAAGATGTACTCAGTTTGGCAAAGTACGTTTTCCAGAATTTCACATTCATCACGGCACAGATCCCGAGGCTTGGCAACTGAAGAAGTCTCATCACAGTATGGGAAAGCATAATGGCACAGCGAAGGAATAGCAAACTGGGAACATTTATCAGATAAATGACTGGAGGTTCCAATCATAGTGAAGGCAGCTGTAATTTACATATATCAGAAGTTTAGACAATATGCTATGTAGCGTCCCATTCAATACTATAATAGTTGAACCCCTCATAATAATTTACTAATTCTAAAAGCTCATACAGGTGCAGTAAATTTTCTTGGAAAGAAACTCTCTCTACTATTTCTTTAATTCTTTCAGTTGTGCTCCTACCAAGCTGAAGGCAGGCTACCAGTGTGTTTGTAGATAATACAGAGAGAGAGAGAGAGAGAGAGAGAGAGAGAGAGAGGGAGAGAGAGAGAGAGAGAGAGAGAGAGAGAGAGAGAGAGGGGAATGATATACAAAAAACAGCCTTTTCATTATATCATTTTCCAATTTTGTAAAATCAACCACAATTCTCTCTCTCGCTAACAGATATATCCTGTTAAACTAATGTTATTTTGAACATATTGGGGTAAATTTCATTGTACCATAAGCATATTAAGGAGTGACAAATTTTGTTACACTGAAGACTATGACAAGCAGTCAAGAATAGAGGCAATCGAGTTGAAAACTGAAGCAGAAATGTTTACCTACCAGTAATCTGATTTTCTATTTCACCTTGCATATGCAGAGAATCCATATAAATTGTTCGGTTTCCAATAAACCTGGCACATGCAATTCCTCTGTATGGCTGGCAAAACCCATCCTCTTCATACTCGTCACTAAAATCACATATAAAAAATGGAACCCATAAAAAGAAATTTAGACTTTGCAATCATCCTCACCATCACCATGCTCATCTCATTAGTCTTCACTACAAGTGATATCACTCAGGACTCTGTTTACTGAGCACAGTGGATTCATTTGAGCCGTTGTATGTAAACCCAACTGTTGGGGGCAGGGGGAGAACTATACAGATGCACCCTTGGATTCATTCAAGACAATGAGATGTTTTCACCAGTTCCTAAGCCAGTGTTTACCCTTCTGGCATCTCTATTAAAAAATCTGGTCATATTTTATATTTTAAAGAACTTGGACAAATTGTGTATGGTAATAATAACAACACACTATTCTTTTCAGAGTGACCAGTTACAGTGTATAATTCATTTTTTTACTGAAAAAACAACAAATAAAATCAATGTTAATAATATAGCTAACTGTATAATAAAGACATAAAGCCTTTACTATACATGTCCAATCTATAATAAATTGACCTATATGTATGATATCAATATGGTATCATGAATTCATAAAACAAATACATGGTTGCTATGATCATTTAAATGTCTTTGTGATTTTCTTTTTCTTCTTCAGTTGAATTTGTTTGGTTAGATTTGACATTTTGGCAACTTTCCTCATCTTAATGAACCATTCTTTCAAAACTGGAGGGTTAGCCTGATGCATTTTTTGTGATCAGCATTTTATCAGCAGTTAATAAAATTCCAGCAGGTTGCATATAAAAGTTCTGCCCACAGACTGGTAGTGTTGTGTGCAGAAGGCAGTGGGCAATTTTCACAGGTACTCCCATCCAACTGCAATTCCCCCACATTCAGTAATCCTCATTAACAACATTTCAGGGGATGCAATGGCAAAGGGGAGGGAGGAGATATCCATTCCATGAACTCATGATCCTTTAGGGCCAGCCCCAGACCATCCCATACTATTTTTCTTGTACAGGTCCCTATAAAAATGTAACAAAATGGTCAATGGAATATGCTGTTTGTTCAAGTGAATATATAAATCAGACATGCTTTCATCTCCATAAAATAATGATGACAGGCCCATTAACACAAGGGGTAGCCCAATCATGTTGCATTGATTAAGGCAGTGCAACCATACTGCAGTACGCATCTAGGATCTAGCAAAGGGACTTCAGAGCCTCCATTTTAGTAGGCCATAAATTATTATCTCCAGAAATTATTTCTCCATCTAAACCAGGTAGACTGTTTCTGATAAGAATGTATTCCAAGATACATAAAAGCAGGGGTCGTTTC